CGGCCCTAGCCTTTTGGGTACGTATCCCTGCTGACAAAGCTAGCTACAAGCTAAAGGGCCCTGAAGGCTGGCAACAATCCAAATCTCTAGGCGGAACTCCTTGAGGAAAAGTTCAGCCTTCCACTAGGCTTTTACACATGGTAATAATCCTCGTACAGGAGCCAAAGAGGACCCCTGATTGTTGAAAAAACAATCTAGCAGAACACACCCCTGAATTCCATCGGGCAACTGGTCTTCGCAGGTTCCGGTGCTGGGGTCCTGCCATCAAGGCTCGGGAAGAACAAGTATGGACCGGTCGGTACAATTCAGTACACTTTGGCAGTAAGTAGTCTACGAGACCAACCCCCGAAAGCCATCAACACAACTAATCTCTGCGCTCTCCCACTAAATACTCATCATTGTAGTCATGCGATCATGAGGGGGGTGCTTAACATCAGGGTGGTGGACGTCCTTGTAAGTTCAAGCACAGACGTCTTAGTCCCAACAATCTCATCTTAAAACGGGGTCCCACAGGCGCAGCGTGCCGTCGGCAGATGCAGAGGCTAACTTGCTGCCCGCCTTCCAGAGTCAACAGTTTAGCGTTTAGCTGCTGGATACTGACCCCACCCACCAACAGTCCTGTTTTTGCATGAGAATAGAGATATGGGCTATTTTGTGACATGGGGCAAGGGTCCCAATGAGGGGTGCCACACGCAAACGCTTGACTGCAGAGCTTTCGGATGGCTTGCTGGCGCAGGATCGTGGAGGGTTTCAAGCCTTGTGAGGAGCTTAGACATGTGGCGTGGGCAGAGAATGACGCTTAAGTTGTAAACTCAGCGACGCACCTGACGTCCCTGACTTTGAACGCCCTTGTAATTCTTGCTGTCTAGCGAACGAGGTCGTCGCAGCGCTGTATTGAGGAATGGCAGCTGTCTGATGATGTGCAGGTTAAACAGAAGCAGGAAATCGTCAAGCCAAGCCCATCCACAACATGGGAAAACACACAACGGTCTGCGCCTGCCTCAGGGGACCGAGCATGGCTGACCTACTTACAGGCGGGGTGCTTAATGTCTGAAGAAGACACTTTAACACCCAAAAATACTGGAGCACTTGCCCACTAGACTCCTACTTTTATCACAGTGGCAAGCACCTGACCCACGCCAAAGTTTCCCAAAGGGATGCCTTCGGGTCCCACTCCACAGCCAGCACAGGGCTGCCTCAGGCGAGGTATCTCGAGGCATGAACTGCAGACGCTCTACAGGCAGTGGGCTCCCTTCAGGATTGAGAGCAGAGGCTCACAAGTTGATCAGGACTAGCTGCAATGCTAACGAGCAAGCTCTGCCTAGTTGGGATTCGAAGGGGCAACAACGGTTTAGTAGCCTTGGAGACTCTATGATACCTCGTCCAATCAATATTCGGAACATTCGTTGGGCTGGATTCGGCAAGAGAATGCTTCATCATTCGTTGCCCCCGACCCTACAGAAAGATCATCACCACCATGATCCCATTCAGCAACCAAACTCCAAGCAAAGCCTTACGGCTATCAAAGAGATGATAGTTACAGCGTTCGTTTCAACTCTCCTTTGCTGAAAGAAAACTCGGCTCGTCAACTGACGGGATTCCCAGGACTGGTTTGCATGTTGTTTACGCCAAACACATGATCACCTACAACTTGGTGGAACTGGAACTTCCCTAAGCCCACCAGCATGTCATGCCCTGAGATTCTCGCCGTTGGCTTGACCTTTCCAGTGCAGGCTTCAGATTTGGATCTTTGCCGACTTTGCCGGCAGGGCTAACTGGACTTAAAGTGCGGGAGTGCGTGACGAGTGGGGCGGACATGTTTTGCAGCAGAAGAATCCAGACAGGCCTTCAAGCCTGCAAAAGGATACTAAACGCATCAGCTAATGCTGAAAGGCTGCAAGCTAGCTGCTAGATGCCATCCTGCTTAGAAGGCTCCACGTCGACTGCCTGGTTGGCGTAAAGCACGTCAGCTTCCGGTTCTTTCGAGACAGTTGCAACTTCAACCCTTCAAGGGAAATTTCCTGACGACACCCTCCATGTTCCCTCAATCACATGCCTCTATGTATCAGGACGTGCGCCTCAGCACCCCGCACTCTAGATGCAAACACATCCGAGGCATGGCCTATGCATGCAAGGTAGGAGGCTGGGATACAGACATGTCACCGATGACGTGTCCTCCGCAGCAAATTGCTTAATGAATAGAAAGCCGGGGGGGCATAGCATTGGGAGGTTCAAGGATCTCGGAGACAAAAATACCAGACGAACAAGACAAACCCTTGATTGGTTAGGTGATGTCTGCCCGCACAAGGCCGTATCTGTTCTGCGAAGTCTGCTTTTGTGCATCTTTCCGGATAAGCGAACACTGGGATGTAGCAGGATCCACCCTGAAGCCCCCAAAAGAAGTCCAGCAGCACTCAGACCGATACACAATGCGAATCTCCCTCAACCCTGTGCGGGTCCAGACTCGGAGCGCCCAAACCGCTGCCATTGGAGGCCATGGTTAGCTCTCACGCTGTAAATTTGTGTGTGTTTCGTTTTTCTGTGAGGTGCGAACCAAGAGTGGCCGTGATAGCTACTTCTTAGAAGACAACTACCCCACAATTCTATACAACTACATATAATCTTCTTGATTGGCGATGAGTGCCGTTCGAGATGTTGAATGTTTGAACTGTTTTTTCTGCAAAGCATATCATGGCTACTGCTACTGTTGTTGGTCTCTTCGGCAATGGACTGTCTTTTCTGTTTTGTGCGGAAGGCTGCCACATCATCTGCGAATGTCCTATGCTGTATAATATCCTTTGGATATGTCGTAGAAGTGGATTAAGACTATCGTGGGGGTCTGTCTCAGTACTATGTGAGGATAACATCGGCACAGAAACTAACACGTGACGCACATTTGCAGGCAGTGTGGCCGCTCAAGTTGTGGGAACTCCTGGCAGAAGGTCAAAGACAATAAGCTTGAACTGTGGAGTGCGCCCAGGCTGTTGAGGGCTGTAGCTTGCAACAGACATGACGCTTGCTTGTCTGTGAGATTTTGGGGCTTCAAGACATACAGCTCGAGCCAGGGGTAATGTGCATGAGTGTCTCTTTTCCTGATTTGGACGGACCCCGGCTCTAGATTCTAGGCTTGTAGGGTGTGTGGTGGGAAGGTGGGAGCTCTGTGTTTGAGTAGGCAAAAACAATGAACGACTGACATCTTCTTCGGTCGAGGGTTTTGAGATGTTTTGAGTGGCTACGTATGATGGCCATCTCTCAGTAAACTGGCATGTGCATGAGTGGGAAGCTCAACTGTAAGCCCAAGAAATCTCCTCAGTTCGGAAGTTGTTCATAGGATGCAGCGACTCTCGGTCCAATGGCAAAAATGGGATGTTGAACCCTCTTGCCTGGCACCTATTGGAGCAAAGAGATGCGTGTATCCCCAAACTCAAATGCTGATCAATCCGATCCCACGCGCGTAGGCAACTCTGAATGACGTAGGAAAATCTGAGTACAGCAGCTTGTCTGTATGTGCAGGAGGACACACAAACCTCAAAAAGCTATAGGGTAAACACAGCCACATGTTTTCCTATCTAATCGTCCCATGCCCAACCAAGGATGACTAAACTAATGGGCTCCTCAAGTCACAACCTGAGCTACATGCCAGCTTCTGCGTGTAGTCTCGCTCTATCTGCTGCACCTTGGTCGGAATGTCTGGCTACGCTACACATGGTCTAGGATCGCATAAAGCCAAGGTTTGCATGGTTTACAAGCTAACTACCATGCAGCGACGGATTTGTGAGTGCGGCTGCAGCGGTGTGTCACACGAGAAGTGCAGGCTGTCGAAGCTTACAAATAAGCAGTGGGCAATGACTGGACATCAGCTGGCATCAGGAAACGGAATGCTAGGATTCCCATTCAGACTGGAAGCACTTGCAGCAAAGTAGGCCTAGCCGAAAGACCCTGCATCGCACACATGTGATTCTTACTTTGAGTCTCCCTGCTTGCATGCTCCGATTCTGAGTTGCGCGAGCGCATGCAACCATCCCTGGGTCAAGCCAAACAAATAAAGGGATAGCATTGCATGGTCCTTGCCTGTTCATGTAAACGGTACGTGGTCGGGGTCATGTTTCATGTTGAAGCGAGAAACTTGAAACGAGAAACACTTCTGGTATCCCCTCTTCAGCTTGCATACTGTGAGTTGCAAACCTACGTAGAGCAACATACCACTTTGAAGACATCTTCAGGATGTTCCGGAAAAGGCCCGCCGGGATGCAACACCTAACACCAAGACAAATCAAAAATCATCACGCTCCAGAATTGAGGCCAGTCCTCACTGACTCCCAGTAGTCGAACCTGTTGGACCTCGTTAGACTTTGTCATCCCTGCCATTTTCCTGGGTTGCTGTTAAGGAACTTAAATTAAGTTACTTTTTTGGGGGAACCCTATTATTTACTATCTATACCCATTATGGTAACTTAATTTAAGGTCCTTAACAGCAACACAGTTTTCCAGGGGAAATCTTCTGCACGGTTTTGCTACAGCCAGCCTGCGCTCCACCTTTGCCGCTTCTGGGCTCATACTGCAGGCACCAAATTCAAATGATTTCCTAAGGGTCCAAGGACCCAAATAATAGGGTTTTAGGGCCCAAATACTATATTATCAATGTCCCTTAGGGTTTAGGATGGAGCTTTAAAAACCATAATATCACAATACTTTCAACAGGTTCCCGATTATTCAAGCTTCTGTGATACGCTCATTTGATCATCCGACTTCTGGCCCACCACCCGAACTGCGTGGTGGCTGCGAAGAAGCTCACATCTGTCATTCAAGCACCTAGCATGGGCACACGCTAGGTTGAGCTTTGTCACAACGTTGGTCCCAGTTGGTTTGCCCTATACTTATTCCAGTAGGGGCCGTGGCACGTGGAAAATGCCACAATTTTGACAACCACCCAATCGGCACGTCACATGAAGTCATCCTGCGGGAAGAGGTAGCAAGCAGGACGATTGTCATCGAAGGCATCATAAAGCCTGTTCACGTAGCAAACCTGGACATCGGACAGGATACCCACGTTTACAAAGTTCCGGCTTGGTTGTGATGTAAGGTTTCGTTGCTTCGCATTGCTTGTAGGCGAAACTACCCAAAAAAAAACATTCAGCTTGGCAACAATGAGTTGAATCCAGATCCATACAAACCACAGCATAATCCCCGCCTCCATCCAACTTTTCGTTTTCTTTTCCATGTGACTCTTGATTCTTAGGGTATGACCGAGACGCCATGGAATGGTCCAGTAGGGACTCGGGCGTCAGCTGGAAATCTGTCAGCCAATGAAAGCGTCGCGGCGACGTGCTCAAGACCTTTACTGGTCGGTTTGGGAAGCCTCCTGTGATTTCCGTCTCTGTGTCTAAGACGTGGTCACCAACGACACTCTATCTGCGCAAGTCGTTTTAAAACACGTTCCAAGAACAAAACGTTGCCAAACTATCAGGAACAGCCGCCTTCAGCGGAATCACATGTCGGTACTCTCGGGCCATTTCCTCAAGTAGACTGAAGCCGGGCCGGTTCAGGAGTGCCTGGGCCATGCCTTCCACGACTTTGGCTGCCAAACCTGAAGTTGCAGTTTGGCGCTTGGTTACAGCTGCGAGACATGAAACTAGAGATGGCCAAGTCTACAATGCAACCCCGTGATAGAAGGCAATTGCCTTCTATGGCTAATGTTCTGTTACAGTATGTTGGGTTTCTCCGCGATGTAACACACAAAACTACCTGTCAAATAGAACCTGGGAACCTCCCTGAACGGTGCCCAGCTCGTCCCGGAGGCTCTGCTTCGTAAATTGGCATGCCTGCTGCACCAACACACGCAAGTTCAGAGATCCCCACGCCCGTGGGCATGGGTCATGCGCGTGGACATAATTGACGGCCCGTCTGTTGGCGAAGCTCTTGAAACTCTGTAGCTGACCATTACCTTCCAAGCCGCCACCGAATGTCATCGGAGCACCAAATGTGACACAGCGCATGCTAGACATCAGCGGGGTGAGGCCACCTGCCTCAATTTTCTGCCAAGCCAAATACAACATCACCTGGGCGTACATGCCCCCAAGAGAATGTCCTGCAAAAACCACCTGAGCCACGCCTTGCATGCCTTCTGACTCGAGGCGGCGCATGAAATCTGTCTCCAGCCAAAACTGCAGATTTCCCATAGCGCCTGCTGCACCACGGTGAATGAAGAAAGCCTTATCTTTCGTCATGGTGTGGTCATGCTCCAAATTCCAATTCAGGAAGTCTGCGATGAAAGACGTCCCCTTAAACACAACGAGAAGCATTCTGCCCTCGGGACAAGTGGCACTGACAAGCGCCACCTTCACTGCACCAAGCTTCGGCCTCTGGATGATCCTGAGGGCGGTCATGCTGGTGCGGGGAGGGCAGGGTGGCTCTGGATCATCCGTGTAGATCCACACGCTGGCTGAGAGCTGCCGCAAGAAGATCTGGAAGATTTTCCGTGCAGGCACTTTCGAGGTGAAGATTTAGGCTCATTGCGGGCGTGCACGCGAGATCCTCTATCAGAAGTATCTTCTCCGCACGAGAGGGCACAGCAACCACCTTGCCGTTCACCACGCAGCTGGAACAATATTTGCGATTTCCTGTGCTGCTGATGCATGCAGGCAAGTCAACAGCCTCAGCGTTTCCAGCCACCGGATCAAAGACCAGAATCTTCTCCGCACAAGAGGGCACAGCAACCACCTTGCCGTTCACCACGCAGCTGGAAAAATATTGTCCATTTCCTGTGCTGCTGATGCATGCAGGCAAGTCAACAGCCTCAGCGTTTCCAGCCACTGGATCAAAGACCAGAATCTTCTCCGCACAATAGGGCACAGCAACCACCTTGCCATTCACCCGGCAGATATGACCAAACCTGTCGCTGCGGCTGCGAGAAGGGTCTGCAGGAAGGTTTGTTGCCCTGGTACGGAAGCGACAATGGCTGCTGGACGCGCCCATATCAGTTCTCACGCAGCCTTCATGTTCATGCTTGAGCCTTCGGATGTCCAGGCGAGTGCAGATGCTAGCTTCTGAGCACTCTCTCCCTGTTCCCCATGGTAGACTCTACTGCTCTGCTGCTTGGGGCATGAGGCGGGTGACCAGACAAACATGCGTGCTTTGAAGGGGGAGCTACCCCATGAGCTTTACCAATTCCCGCAACAAGTTTAAAGCTATCTCGAATTATCTCGGCAGCTTTATGCGGTCGCAACACCTGATATGACACCCAAAAAGGCACCATGGACATAAGGGCTCACTGGACTGTCAGCAGCCCCTGGCCCCGCTTGTCTCTGAACGGCAAGACATGAGCACGAGTACAGATGCCAGGTCAACATACCTCTGCCTGCTTTTTATTGAGGCCTTCCCACCTCGCCCTCACACCTGTGACTGGGCTCACGCTGTTGTGTCGGGAGGCGAAAAAACATAGAGGAAGTCAACAAAAGTAACGCAGTTTCCTTTAGTGCGCAAGCCTCTCACCATTTGGCTCTGAATCAAGTCCTGCGCACCCTTGTGCTCCAAAACCCAGCAGCATCACCCGAATCCTACTCGCATGAGCCCTTGATAGCGATCTACAGTAATTCCCAAGTCCTCCTATGGACCAGGAGGGGCTGGCTTGATGCGTCAAAGGCCCAGCATGACAAAATCGGCTATCAGCCGCTTGACTTAGCTAGGTTCAGGGGGTAGAACCTCTTTAGGAGGCCAACCCCTAGAAGCTGGGCATCTGGTGGGATCCACGCCTGCTGCTGGACATCTGCTAGCATCGCCTGATGACATGAGGGTTTAATTCTTGTCTGCAGCAGCGAATGCTTCAAGTATCACCGCTGTGTCTCTTCTGGCTTAGGGCCATAACTTGGCTGCATCCCGGTGCAGTTAGTGCGAACCCAACAAACACAAATTTCTTGGTGTGCTGTCTCAAGAAGAGGGCTCCTATTGGAAGGTGCCCTCTTGGCAGAACCGGGACCTAGAATGTTGCAGGGTAGGGAACCTATGCCTTGAGACACGAGCATGTGCCAAAAACAGTCCTCTATGACTTGCGTGCATGAAAATGCGGTATAATACGGACCTCAACATAAAAACGCTGCCCGTATGCTCTGTGCGCAAGTGCACATGGTCGCTGCTTCCCTGCCTCTAGGTGCTGCTTCTCCTCCTTGAAGCTTAAGGCCTTGGAATCGGGAAGCAGCTGTAGGGACCTTTTGGCTTGTGAACCTCACCAACCTATAATCATCGAGAAGTAGACCACGGAAGTCGGGCAGCGGGTCTCTTGTAGTCTGGGCAGAACCCCTGCATGGTTATTCCCCGCTTACTGACTACCTGTCCCTCCACGAGGAGCAAGTTTTTAAGGTTTGTGTCCATTACAGGGGCCTGTCTATATGAAGATAACGAAGGGCGCCACCATGGGTAGTATATAAAACTCGCACCATTCTCCAGAAATCATCTGATGGCTCCTTTGAGGTACTGGAAGCCTTTTCAAAACACCGCACCAAGACATGTGTTGCAAGCCCCGTTACCTCTCCACATGCATCGCCCTACTCCTCCACATAAAACAGTGCACAAGCTGGGTATATTGTCAGTACTATAGGGCATATCTCCCATTGCTCAGCTGCAGGAGAATTTAGGTATGGAGTTCTGTCGGGACGGATCACTTGAAGGTTCATGGGATTGAGTAACTATTTGAAACTGGGCTTTCAACCCTACGAGTATAATCCCCCTACTTGAATTACGTAGGTTAACCCATTAATCAGGTTGTCTCTGTAAGCACCCCCCCTGATAAACCTCCCCCGAAAATGAATCATCCCCAAATTATCGAATTATGTTTTGGTAGAATATTGCTGGTAGAGAGGTGGTAACTCAGTCCCATGAACCAGCTACGGGGGCTTACGGGCGATGTATATGAAAAAGTGCTTTATAGGGTTTAGGGTTCAAATGTCTTCCTCCGGCCGAAGACAATGAGGATTATAGAGCACTTCGGAATATAAGAGGGGACCCATAAAAAAAATGAGGACAACCCCTGAAAAGCTACCCCATATAATCCCCAAAAAAACACCCTTTCAGGGGTTTAGACTATAGTCCCCCTTAAGTAGATAGAATATAGCTTTGGGTATAGTATAATAAGATCCCCATATACCCCATATTCTATCTACTCAAGGGGGACTATAATCCTAAACCCTATTTTCCTAAACCCTAACCCCTACATAGTAGTTTCCATTTTCTTTTCCATTATCCTAGCTCAGATTATGAGGGGACCCGTTTTTAGGTGAAAGCTCCCATTTTGCGCCAGCATCTCAGTAGGCTCACGGCCTCGGCTCTTCCGGCTCGCAATGGCAGAGTTCAGGGTTGAAAGGGCGTAGGTTTTAAGGGGTAACTAGGGCTTAGCGGTTTAGAATTTAGGGTGTGTGGGTTTTGGATTTAGGTTGTAGGGTTTAGGATGTTGGGTCTGGGGTCTAGAGTCCCAAGAATGAGGGGTTTCGCAAGATTAGGGGTACCTTTAAAGGGGGTTATGTGGGGTTATATAGGGATGTATAGGGTGTAGGATTTCCCAATATTCGGGGTACCTTTAAACGAGGTTATATAGGGTTTATATAGGGGTATATAGCGATAGATAGGGTTTAGGGTCTCCCAATATTACAGTAGGTATACCTTTTTGGAGGTTCCCTTAAGGAAACTACCAATTCGGGTCCCTTTTTCAAGTATATACTATACAGCTACATGTGCCCTTTGGGAATTAGGGGTCTCTTTTTGAGTGTGTTGCGCCGTGGCGGATTGCATTTTCGAAAACTGTGAATATATGAGACGTTCTAATGAAATCTGAACTCCACCAATACACACCGCCAGCGCGAAACGTTCTACCTTTTTTTGGTGTCCTTGCATCAAGGACTGTAGTGTTTCGGGTCCTATACTGGTGTCCTTATTTATGGAACCTACCATTTCGCGAAGTGATCTCTCCCCAGAGGCTCGAAAAATGTTCCATGCAATCCATGGTTGCTGTCATCATAATCAAGGGATGATAGGCTGCTAGCATTCCATAAGAGCCCCTGGCTTCTTAACATGCAGCTACCAAGAATTGCTTGGTCAAAAGGGTTGGAGCTTCCGAGCTGCCTAGTGCCTTGTCCTAATGAATCATGAAGGCCTGGACACATGAAGGACCGCCTGATTAGACGGTGAGTGCTTCAACTATCCGTTGAAGTGGGGAAGCGATGCGTTCAATGGCCCACGGCGCTGGCACTGAGACGTGTGTCTATGTCACCCTGCATCCACACGTCACTCAGACAAAACGTGCCTTTGTAGCAAATGAGCAGGCAGATAAGCACGCTGCATATCGCTGTCTTTCTTTACAAGACAGAGCAGAGCCCAGAATCGACATACCAACGGCCGGAACTGAAAAACAAATCGAGACGGCCGCTATTGGGATCCATTCTTCCATCTCCTTCTAACAACCAGTATAAGCGGATGAGGACAGCTCTGTTAGACACGATCTGTGTGCTAGTTGGGATTAAGGCCAACGACTCTGTATACTGACACCCTCACACATTACACGACCGCAGGCCGTGGAGGGTAGATGCAAAAGCCCGACGCACAGTCGGATGAAGATGCCGGCCGCGGGCACATCAAACAAATCTGCAAGCCGTGCAGCTTTCAAGGCAGGATTGTGTCGGGCTGCAAATGTTTGCTACAAATTGCCTTCTTCCGTCTCCTGAGTAGCGCCAGTCAATCTCACAATCACGAAATCCTTGAGAGACCTACAGCTCGTCACATGCTCGCCTGGAAAACTCTATGGCCCATTTTCAGGCGACAAAACTCATTAGCTTCGGACTCCAGCCAGTCCTGCATTCCCCAACAGCAAGGGGCCCTCACGGTCGCGGATAAGGTTCGAAGGTCATATAGGCCGACACGCGAGCTTTCGTAGCAGATGGGGACCAGACGGCTTTGTGCCATGTAAAAACAAGCAAAAACAGAATGCCTGGCGACATCGACTAAGCATGTGCTGGGAAACCCTTACGACGTTCAGTGGTAAGGCTTTATGCTGTATGCCATGCCCTTAGCTAGGATGCACTTTGATCCGCTACGTCATTACCCGTGATCCTGAGAGGGCCTGTGCTGCGCCAGACTGGCTCCCCAAAGTGGTCCCAAGTTTCAGGCTCTTGGGATGGCTTGGGAATAAGGGCTTAAACAGTGATATAGGGGTTATAGAAGAATACATATGGATTATGTAAGGGTATACAAGCATAGACTGATTTACGGGGTGTTTGAGATTAGGGTTCGGGGGTTAAGGATTTGGGCATTGGCATCGGAAAGCTGCAAATGGTTCTGCCCTACCGGGGAATGAAAATGCCAATGCCACATGCCCGTGAAGAAATCAACAACAAAAACGGCC